GCTAGATGATGTAAACAAAATTACATATAAAACTGCAAGCGTTAATTAATTTTAATTGTAACATGTTCTAAGACTTTTGTATGAAAATATATGCTTACATTCCGTTCGGATCTCTTTACATCCCGTTCCCATCTTGTATAATATTTTTACTCTTGTTGCATAAGATTAAAATCATTTTGCAGAAAGTGATCACAAAATCATGTATCGATTTGATTAAAAATAAAGTAATGTGTTTAATGCAATAAAATAATTCAATTTTTATTATTTTGGCTAGATATGATATTTATTTATAATACGGTTGAAAAATATATTTTATTTTATACAATTACAATTTTGATTAGTGACATATATATTCAAAAAAATGAAATTAGCCCTTTTTGTTGAATTAATTATTTTAAGACTTTATATTATTTTGAATATAATTATATCAGTTGTACCTATATATGTGGGATAATGTTTTTAGATATTTATAGTATATCATTTATAGTTTGGATTCATACATGTTTGACATTTAGTTTAGTTTCAGTTAGATAGTTAAGGATTTTGTTCTTAACTACTTGATTGTTTTTTCTTTTCGAAACTTACTTAGAAGACGTAGAAATTAAATCATAAAAATATAATCCATTTATTATTTAAAAATTGCTAATAAAACATAACAATTATTTTATATCCACTTATTATGTAGTTTTGATTTAGTAGTTAATGAGGTACCAAAATATATGAAATCTTGAATTTATAACGATCAAATAATTACGATGTAATTAAACTTTTATTTTTTATTTTTGGATTGTTTATAGATTTGAAATTGCATTATAGTTAGGAAAAATAATAATCGAATTAAATATTTTTCTAATTTTCGATTGGTTATGTTAAGTGCTAGTTATTAGGGTGATTGAATTAATTCTGTATTTCTGAATAATTTTTTTAAAAATTGGATTATTGATTTTTTAAAAGGAAAAACGGAAATATCTCATATGTAATCAATATATTTCAAACTCTTTTAATTTATGTGCGATATTTTCGAGATTGCTTTTTTTAATATGAAGATTTTATGTGAAAATAAGAGATTTCATGTGATATATAATTTTCGCATGATTTTAGCCAACAAATTTTTAATTATTAATTTAATTAAGATTATTTATTCAAATATTTTTAACTACTTTTTAAGATTATATTTTTAAAATTTGATGATATAATTAATTATGTCGTATATTTCACACATTTTATGATATGTATTTTTATAATCAAACATATTTTTTCATCTATATTTTTCTTAAATATAAATTATAATTTTCAAAAAATATTCTAAAGTATATAACTAATATTAAATCTGTTTGCATATTTTTAATTTCGAATTTAATTGTCCATTTTTTATGGTAACAAAATTAAAATGATTTTCATAAATACAGATAGTTTTTGTTTTTTTTTTAATTTATTTAATCTATTTTTTTGCTGTCTTTTAGTGTGTTTGGCTATAGGTTTGAAATTGTATATTTTGTAATATTTTTTTTTCAAGTTTGTTTGGCTATAAAGACAAATAATGATCCCCAATTAATAGTATAGATAATTGAATTTTATTAATATTTTGTCTAATATAGTTTGAATAAAACAATAATATTGAATAAAACACACTAAAAAATAGCACAACACGGTAAGTGTGTTCAGCTCATATAATCTACATACATTGAACATATTGATTGATTTCTTTTCCCGTGTAATAATATGGCATAATTGTAAAACATAATATTGAGTTTCGCAGAAGGAAATGCGAAAGAGATGGTAAAGGAGTGAGCAATATGGGAGCTGGTGAGGATCTCGAGAGACTGTTCAAGAGAAGACATAAGAAGTCTTGCTCATAGGACTCTCACTTCAAGTCCCACTTTCCTAACATAAACTAAGACGTCTCCGTGTTGCCATCCGGTGAGCCGGTTTCATGTCTAACTTAACCGAACCGAAGCGCGGTATGAAAGAATAAATATCATTCGACCGGAACTTTGAGATGAAGATTTGTCTAATTTTGTTTTTATCTTGGTTTAGTAGAGGTTGGTTTGTGGTTTTCATCGTGGCTGTGACATTTTTGTTGTTGTTTGGGCTTGAATGTGTAAATTATTGCTCCGGTGTGTTTTGTTTGTGTATATAGGATGTGTGTAGTAGATGGAATTAATAGGGTTTAAAGACAACTTTTCCCCAAAAAAAAAACAAAGACAAAAAAAGACTAAGGGTTACAATAATTTATATTGGAACAATTACACCCCAAATATATAGGATTTTGAAATTATTTTGGTGGATTTTGTATGTCAGTATGTGTATATAGGATGTGAGACGTAGTAGAGATAAGAATTATTTGCACTCTCACCCACTGTTAAGTTTTTCTATATCACTCTCTCCCACTTTCACTATTTTCTACAAGTTTATTGACACCCTCTAACTTAATAAAATATGGTTTAGAAACAGCTATGTTAGTGACAATTAGCTGTTTCTAAACCATAGTTAGACAACAGAGAAAAAGAGGATACTTACCAAATTTCATTCCTTGTTTTTCGATTCTTTTCTCTTTCTCCTTTTCCTTGTTCTTTTATCTGTTCTTGTCAATTTTATGTGTTATCAAGAAAATATTTTCTATTTATTTTTGTACAATACATTGTAATTGTATTTTTTTCTATATAAAAAATATTTTCTATTTATTTTTGTACAATACATTGTAATTGTATTTTTTTCTATATAATGAGATCCATTGCCGATGATGATTAGAAGGATTGGAGGCGGAACGGATATGAATGGACCGTGAAATGAAAGGGTGTCCATTTTATGTTTGTGAATGAAAGAGTTTGTATAATGAAAGGGTGTCCATTTCTTGGAGAACAAATGTATATTCAGCGATGCTCGTTGGTGTTTGTCCGAGGGGTTTTCTTCTAATGGGATGGTGCGGTCAATTCCTTGTCCGGTAAATGATTTCAATCTCATCAAGTCAAGAGTGTTTGGTATATCCCATGTTTCTTGATGGTGGCCTCAGTTGGTGTTTTGGTTTAGGTGTAGAGTTTTAGTTTTTCCGGTTAGGTTGATGAATCTCTGATCTCATCATTAGTTCTGATCTTGTTGGATTGGAATTAATGTGGGTATGTTGCGTGCTCCGGCTGCATTTGTGGCAACGGCCTCCGTAATATATCTCTACATTGGTTTTTCTCTACCTCTGGTGTCTTAGTTAGGTTGAGGAGTTTTAGACATTGCGGCGACTCGGTCTCCATTCCTTCTTTTGCGTTGGCGTAACCAGTTCTTAGTCTGTAGGTGGCATTGGCTGGGTCTACGAATGTCCGTGTGCAAGTAATGGTGGTCCTTTTTGAAGTTCTCCCCTCCGGATCTCAGGGTTTCTCCTTGTAGCGATGCCTTCTCGTATCCCTTGGTTTTTAGAGTGGTAATGATGGTAAGGATTTGTGCTTTGATCCTCTTGTTTATCTGTGTTCGTTTCTGCTGGGGTCGTGGTTTTGGTGAATTCGTTTTAGTTCCCTCCTCGGGCTTTCTCTGTTGAAGGCAATCTAATGTTGGGTCCTCTTTGAAGCTCATGTTTGTTTCATCTAATGAAACCTCTATCCAGCTCCAAATTTTTCTATGGAAACGTACGTCAGATCCTTTTGGTAAAAAGTTATCAGTTTTGTTGCTTGGGATATTTTGTTATTTGCCTTTGACGCTTCTATTTAAGGTTTTTCGTTATTTGATTCACCCATTTTGGGTCTTTTTATCTGGGGTTTTACATGTAACCGCCGGCTTTTGTTTAGAAGGAATTTTTCCTTGCCATATTGTATAAGTCAACCGAATGTTTTTAATGAATTATTCAGACGAAAAAATAGAAGAGAGAGAGTGTCGATGAAAAGGAAGGAAAGAGATAAAGGAACAAAAAATGAATCTAGTTGAATGGAAAAGAGTAAAGGTTGGAGTGTATTTGAACGAGACCAAAGTGCCTCTTCCCTGGAGAGTGTGCGTGAGTGCAATTAAAGATGGAAAAGTTTGTCTCAGCGCAAATATCCCTAATAGTTATCTAAAGTGAAGACAACAAATAGTTTATAAAAGAGAGAAAGAGAGAGAAAGAGAGAAACAAACTAAAATAACTTTGTTACAAAGATCTCTAGTTACGTGACCAACCAAATAAAAAAACAATGACAATGGTATTTTAGTCCAAAAATTTGCGTATCTTTGTAAAAGAGAATAAAAATACACAATGTTTAGAAAGTATGCGTATCTGCAATATTTTACTTATAAAGTGGGTGTAAGTGTAAATCACTCTAGATATAATTAGTGGGTTTATGAGTGATAAAGACAAAAAAGACTTAAGGGATTTCAGTAACATCTATAATTTGAACAATTTTACAACCAAAATTATATAGGATCTAAAATTATTTTGGTGGGTTTTGTATGTGTGTATATAGGAAGTGGGATGTAGTAGATAAAATTAGTGGGTTTATGAGCGATAAATTCAAAAAGACAAAAAAGACTTAACGGGTTGCAATAACCTCTTTGAACAATTTTACAACCTGAATTATATAGGATCTGAAATTATTTTGATGGGTTTTGTATGTGTATATAAGATGTGGGGTGTAGTGGATAGAATTATTGGGTTTATGAGTGATAAATTAGAAAAAGACAAAAAAGACTTAAGGGGTTGTAGTAACCTCTTTTGGTAGGTTTTGTATGTGTATATAGGATATAGTAGAGATGATTAGTGGATTTATGAGCCATAAATTAGAAAAAAACAAAAAAGGCTAAGGGGTTACAATAACTCATTTTGTTACAATTACACCCCAAATTAATCTCAATTATATATGGTACATGGGAGTGGGATGAAATAAAAAAGAGAGAGTATTTAGTTTTTCAAAAGATTGGGAAAAAACTAGCTTTCTAAATACGTCAAGGTACTGCTTATATAGACGTTTTTCGCTAAAACATAAAGTTTGCATTAATTATTAATATATATGGATTAAGACGAACCATCCATATTAATTAAGATTTTTAAAAATGCATATATATACACGTTTTCTTATTCTATTTCTAACAATCATAGAGATTATGTTCTCCTGTCAAGAGTACTGCCGCAAATTGATATCTTTCTATGATCTATTGACCAACGTCAACTCTCCCCGGTCTATTATCGTCAACTCGTTATACTATTATCCGAGAATGTACGAATATATCAATGTACCGTTAAGATCTTATTAGATACAAAAAAAATATGGAATGAACTCAAATTATTAACTAATCAAACTGAAACTAAAGTGTGGTGAGCATTGATGCATTGACACATCATCCACTTGAATTCAATATAGGATATCATTAATTTTACATTCCGTAAACTACTAAACCTTCAAATTAGCTAATAAATTTACTATAAGAATTTAAATCAAGCTAACGAAATTCGTAATATTTACGAATAAAAAGAAAGCACAAATATCTCTTTTCCTCACCACTAGTTAGAGAGAGATAAGAGAGACAACCATGATTGTTCTTAACAAGAACTCTGCTGTTTCTCATCATAATTTTCTTAATAACCCTCTTCCAAACCTATATTTCCCTTCCTAACTCCGATCTTATCCCAACAGACGATGATACCTCAGTGATAAAAATCTGCAAAGGAGTAGACAAACAAACATATCAAACCTACTTGTTGGATATCAAGTCATTGTCCTCATCTCTCTCGGAGATGAGACGTCATGCTTTATTATTCATTTTCTTTAACAAATCAGTGTTGAAGATTAACACGGCTATGATTGTTGTTAGGAAAGAAGAAATATCGGCGGCAAATGAAGGCTTGGCTTTACGTACTATCACAATATATAACCCTAATATTTTCGACATATCATTTTTAGTATTATATATATAAATTTGGTAACCTTCGAAATACACCCATCTTTCAGATAAAAAAGCGTAAAATATGTATATATATGCATATCCTCTGTAAACTAATTTTGATATCAATTAAATTAAATTATTTTTAGTTTATTTTAAAGATGTTTTATTTGCAGTAAAAAAACAAAATTAATACCACTTTTCCTTGTTTTAAAAATAACAGTTATGGAACCACAGTTGGAATTATTTTTCTGATAAAAAACGTTTATAGTAAAAATTCACTATAATTATGGGACATAATGGAATAAAAACCCTGAATTTTTCTTCTCTTTTTCTTGAATAATAATAATTCCCAATATCTCTTTTTATATCAATCTATTAAAAGATCCTAATTACACTAATGGTTTTTTTGTAAATTTAGCGAGAACTTACTGGTTTGTGTATGAAAAAAAGAATATTTTCCATCCTTTATTGATTTTTTTTTTGTTTCGGTTTAACAATCGGCGTAAACCGATAAAACCGAACCGAATAAACTGAGTTTTTCGGTTTTCGGTGCCGAAGGTGTGAGATAAAGGGAACCGATCGGCGAAATTATTTTGTAATTTTGGTTTTCAGATCGGTTCGGTTCGGCGACCAGTAATCGAACGGTTTCTCGGTTTTCTTCTAATCATCACTGTAACTCCTGAAGATGTTGTCTGCAACTAAGTTAAAACATAAAAGAAACGACGGCCATGGTGAAACTTCACCGAGAACGAAGGCTAAAACGCTAGGTTTATTGTGTTTTATGTTTTTAGCAAATATGGGCTTTTAATAAAAGTTTGTGTTTCAGAGTTATATGAAGTTCGATTGGGCTTATACTAATGTTTTGGTTCAGCCCAATATTAAGGTCCAATATTTTTATTTATCACTTAATTTTTATTTAGAAAACCCTAGATCTAAGTTGTTTTCCATTCATTTGCATTTTCCTCAGCCTCCTTTCACCTCTACGAGACCTAGAGGAAAAAGTTATCAAAACTTCTCATTTTCTTAAAGTCTCTCTCTTTCTTCTCCAAATCATTACTAAATGAGCAAGGACAACTTCAACGCCACCGGTTGATCTTACTGCAGGTAAATATGCCTCTGTTTATCCTTTATCTTTTGCTCTTCTTAAGTGAGAGGTACCTAAATCTAGTGTCGTTTGTTATATAACGACTTACTGAATATTTTTCTTTCATTGTATTTTGTTTTCAGTTCTGAAAGATGAGGATTGAGCTGGCCTTTTGAACGCAAACCACATGACTACATGAGCAAATTTTTATGCGGTTGGCTGGTAAAAAGTCTTGCCGGAAAGTGGGATTGAGCAGCCACAACCACTATCTCGTCGAAAACCCTATTTTTTAATGGATTTAGACTTGTTATTTGTGTGTACTTCTTATTTTAGTTGTAAAATTTGTTAAATTGATTTGTAAATTGTTTATTGGACTTGTAACTTATTTCGGTTAACCGAATAAACCGAGGAAAAAATCAATTCGGGTTAAATTCGGGAAATTTTTTTTTGCCTATAACCGAACCGAAAAAATCGAGTACCGAACAAACCGAACAGAATTTTTAATCGGTTCAATTCGGTAGAATTTTTAATAACCAAAAAAACTAAAAAACCGAAAAACCCGAACCGAAATATCCGATTAAACCGAATGCCCAGGGCTATGATTGTCGATGTGGTGGTGGCAAAAGACAGTTGCGGCGGTACCTTAACTAAGCCAAAAGATATACGTTATGTACGTGAAGAAAGGCATCTGAGATGAAGTTGTCAACATTTCCAAACATAATTTAACTTTCATTGGGGACGGTTAAACTTCAACCATCATCACAGGTAGTTTAAACATAAAAGATGGTACACAAACGTTCAAGTCTGCAACTCTTGGTAAGAATTTGTATTATTTTTTTTTGAATAATAATAGTTCCCAGTGAGAGTATAAAACAAATAAAATATAACACAACAAGTGTTTTGGGCTCAAAGAGTTCATATAAAACATAACAAAAGTGTTCAGATGAAAAACTTGTTAAGCTCAAAGAGTTCATTTCTTGTTTTTGTTATTGGACTTGAAGTAGTTTTGTTTGTGCCCAAAAACCAAAACACTTTTGTTGTGTTTTATCTATTGCATACACTTACGTATTACAAAAAAAGTGAATCATTGTGACTTTTGTTAGAGACTAAAATATATAGTCACAAATTTGTGACTTACGTAGATACAATTTTGTAACGTATTTTTTGGTCATAAATTCGTAATTTTTTCGTCACAATATTATAACGAACAAAGTCGTCTCTAATTATTGTCTCAAGTCGTGACGAAATAGTGTCAATAATAACTATTGTAAGAGCATCTCCAAAGGGAGATGCCTATTTAGGGGTTTTAGTCATATTTTAAAAAAAAATGATTAAATTAATGCTTTGAAACTCTTAAAAAATGTTTGATTTTCTTTGTCTAATGGTGAACCCCATAGGAGGTTCTGAAAGTGTCGTTTTGGCATTCTAACAAACACTTTGTGTGCAGCTTTTTCCTCAACATGAGAGATACAAAAGATTCGAAATTTTGCAACAAGGAATTAAGATAAATCGAGAGAAGTGCCTGGAAATAATTTGGCTACAAACCCAGAAAGATCATTCTCCAAACAGATCAATAAACCCGATTTAGAACAATTTGTTTGATGAGTAAATCTCTAAGTGAAGAGAGGTTAAATGATAAGGAGATTGCAGATGTAAACGTACCAGATCAAGAAGGATTGGGTAGAAACAGTTTTGTTCAGAATATGTTCTGTCGCCGTTTCTTCCACCCAAACGAAGAATAAAAAGTTTTGTGAAAGAGAAACAAAGGCCAAACCATTTTTTTCCTTTATCTGCAGTTCAAAACCAATTAAATTGTGCCACGTAGGTTTAAGGGGCGCTCTTTAAACTCTTTAGTTTAGCATCGCCCCTAAACATTTAACCCTATATTGATTAATTTTTAATCACCCAAAACCTTTAGCACCTCTATAATTTTTGATAAGCATCTCCCTTTGGAGATAGTCTAACAACTGTGACGATTTTATTACCAATATGTACTTGTAAATCGTGACTTTAATTTGATACTCAAAATTCGTCACACATATGTGACTTTTTAGATACTAAATTAAGACCAAAAATTTTGTAAAAAATTCGTAACTATTTTGTCATAAGATTGTTACAGATTAATTAAGTCATGTAAACATTGTCTCAATCATTGACAAATTGTGAGGATAATTTCAGTCATAACAATTGTAATAGTTATGTGACCTTTTTTTGCAAAAATACATTCTGTAACAAATTTAATATATAATTTTATATAGAGAATGTTCAATGAATTGTGGAGGAAAATAGAAATTAATAATAAAAAATATTTAAAATAATATAGGAAAAATAATTGAACTTAAAGCTAAACATCCATCTTAAGCTTGCTTGGTGTGTATCCAACTCATAACTACCACTTAGTCCCTGCTTAATCAACATGAATATAAACACTTAAAATCTTTTTTAGTAAAAGCAAAATACATAATTGAAAAATATATATATTTTACCTTCGATTGCTGGTATTAGAACTAACAAAAGAGTTAATAAGAGCATGCAATTTCTTTAATTCGTCTTCTAGGTAATTGACTCGGCTTTTCAAAGAAATTATCTCTTCTTCAGTGGTTGTTGTTGTAGTGCGATTCTGGTTAAATCTTCTTTTTGTGTAACTTTGGTTGTTTGCCGGTTTTCGAAAAACGCTAGACGTATTTTTGTAATCTTCCTCTATGTCACTTTCATCAATGATTAGATTATCAATTTCTGTAACCTACAAGGAAATAACTCATCATCTTGATAGAAATTAAAAATAATTCATCATCTAGATAGAGATTATACCCAATATCTCTTTCATTATATCAAGCTATTAAAATATCCTTATTATTATTTTTATTTTTTTGCAATTTCAGCTTTTAATGGTGATGGTTTTAGGGCGATTAATATCGCAACACGGTCGGGCCAGCAAAGGGACCACCGACCAGCAGTGGCCCTCCGTGTCAGTGGAAACATATCCATCATATACCAAAGCATGATAGAAGGATATCACGATGCTCTATACCCTCACAAAAAACACCAATTTTATAGAGACTGCTATATCACCGGAATGTTCATCTATGGATATGCCTCTGTCATTTTCTAATATTGCTCCATCGTTGCAAGAAAATCAATGAGCGAGCAGGCCAACATGATCATGGCTTAAGCATGTGAAAATTTGGTTACAAATCGGAATTCACACTTATAAAATGTAACATCACATGGAGCGCTAATTTAGCCAACGTCAAAGCCACGGTGAAGACCTTTCTCGGTTGTCTATGGAATGAGTATGCAACGCTTGGTGTTATGCAATCATATATTGGTGATGTAGTGGATCCTGCGGGTTGAGCAGACTGGAATGGCACGATTGGTATCAAAAATTTCTATTGTGAATACGCAACACATGGACCGGGAGCAGAGACGAGTAGAAGGGTGAATTGGACAGGTTTCAAAGCTACTACACACTACAAGAAAACAGCTTCAAACCGACAAAAAAAAATCTGTTGGAAACAGGTGTAACAATAATCCGTCAGTAATTACCAACATATTTCTGATAGAATGAGACATCAGTAAATCCTTCAATAATCTATCAATACAATTGTATTTTTCTGATGGTTTACCGACGAAAACTTGAAAACAAAAATGTTTGAAATTCTTCTTCATAACCGACGTATTACCAACGCAAACTCGAAAACGAAATTCTCCGTCATAACCAACAGATTACCGACGGAAACTCGAAAACAAATGTTAGAACTTCTTCGTCATTACCGACGGAAACTCGAAAACAAACGTTCGAAATGCTCCGCCGAAATATTTAAATTTCTAAAATCAAAATTTTTAGTGAATATTTTTAAAACCAAAAACACGAAATTGTTTAATAAACTAGAAATTGTTCCAAAAAAACTAAAATTCATAAAACTAAGAGTACGAAGACGTACGCTTTGCCCGCATCTCGCCCATGAGCTCTGCGAGGTCCTCATTCCCCTACTGTTGTTCTTTGCTTTTTGTTCTTCCATTTCCTTCTCCAAAACCGCAATCCGCTCATCTTTCTCTTTCATAGCTTCCTGGAATTGTTGAGTGGGAGCATATTAGTAACCCGATGAACGTGAAGAAGAACTCATTTGGGAGAGATTTCCTAACGCAAAAATCCATCCTTTGGCTTTATAAGTTTCCTACAAAGGCATTAGAAAAAAGTAATTTAATCATTTCACAATAAAGTCAAGTGAACTTGAAAAATCTAGACTTACTACCTCGAAAAAGACCATGTTTAGTTTCTCTCTTCCCAATTCAACAGTAGACTCTGATCCGTTAGGAGATTGTACAACATGTTGAGAAATTTGCATCTCATCCTTCCGCCTCATTGAGGCCTCAATGACCATCTTAGCTCAAACATCTTGTAACTGCTTTGTCTTGTTGTTGGTGTGCATAGCCTCCATCAAAGTAAGACTGTCGGGTACAACACAATCTCTAATAGTCTGAACAAAGAATTTAAGTTGTATATAGATTTCAAACACCAAATAAGATTTGAACAAAAAATTATAACTTACAACTTGGAGTTCTCGAGTAGAGGCGCTTATCGGACCAGAATTGTGAGTAGCCATGCCTAATCCCCCAAGTTAGCTTCTACTGTTCAAAGAGTTCTGTGAGGCACGTGAAATTGTATATGGTTTGCTCCAATAAAGAATCAAACCATCTAACACTTCTTGGTTCACCCATTTTGGCATTTTCCCTTTCTTCCACCTTTTCTTCCATTCACTCAAAGTTCTAGTATATTGCAAGGTAGCCGCTTTTTTGAATTAATTTCAAAATTCAGTGGTGAAATCCGGATGCCAATTTAAATATTGCTACAATACCAAAAGAATATACATTAGCCCTAAAAATAATGTTTTAAACAAGTAACTAAAGTTGAAATTATTACCGCAAATTGCTTAAACCACATTTCTTGTTCACGCAAAGGCATCACTGAGAACGTTGCATATGGTTTTTATTAGGATTCCTTGCATCATACACAAAAGAGATTTTTTAATGCCGTTATGAGATTCATTGAACCATGCCGTACATGGAATGAAATGTGGATGTAATTCCGGGATTCGTTCTCGTTCTGGTTGAGAGACAAAATCTTCAAAGCTCATCTCTATGGGAGCAGAGGCTTGTGAATCCGCAATGGTGCTATCACATGATCGAGAAGCACTTGCTTCTCCGATATTGTGGCTAGACGAGTTTTGAACATAACTAGTATAGTTTCTACAAACAAACCAAAACGTTTGTTAGAAATTATTAATTTCTTTTGAAAAATCATTAATTTTCATAAATTACAAATAACCTTTGTATTTGAATTATAATATACCAATTATTACTTAATCTTCAAAAGAAAAAATATATGATAATATGATATTTATAAATAATTCATAAAATCTACAACACAAATGTTAAT